ATCTTTAACTTAATCATAACTGCAGAGCCTTTACCATATGTCTTAGCTTCCTAGTGTTGCCATAACATAAATAAGTGGGTGGCTTTAAAGTAAAGAAATTAATTTTCTCATGGTTCCAGAGGCTAAAAAGTCCAAACCAGGGTCTTAGCCATGTTGATTTTTTCCTTGTCAGTGGCCCTGAGCATTCTTGATTCCTTGGTGATCCGTACATGGCATCTGTCTTTCTTGTGTGTGTATCTCTCTATGTCTAATCTACTCTGACTCACAAATTAGATTTAGAATTCAACCTTACTCAAGAATGATCTAAATAATGTAACAAAGAAAATCTATTTTCAAACAGGATCTTATCCACAGATACAGGGGTTAGGGTTCCAAGACATATTTTGAGGGACACAGTTCGATCCATAACACCATATAAGATAACATACACAAGTTTGAGGGATTAGCATGTGGATATATTTTAGGGCACTATTTTTCAGGTAGCTTAGTGCCTAAGGCACTTGACTGCTAACCAGATGGCTGGTGGTTCAAACCCACCAGCCACTCCTCGGAAGGAATATGGGGCAATCTACTTCTGTAGTGATACTGCCTCGGAAACCCAATGAGGGGTCGCTATGAGTCTGGTCTGACTCGATGGCACATAACAACAACAAACATAACAGGTAAAGGAGCTCTGGTAGCATAGTGCCGATGGCATTTGACTACTGACCAGAAGGCTGGTGGTTCAAACCCACCAGCCACTCCTCAGAAGGAAGGTTGGGCAATCTATTCCTGTAGTAATAGTGCCTCGAAAACCCAAGGAGGGGTCACTATGAGTCAGATACGATTCTATGACAGTAGATTTGGTGGTTTATAACAGGTAAAACAAATAGCATACTCTACATGCTTTTCTGGACCTTCTAATAATGAAGAAGTGGAATAACCTAAGGATCAATTAATCTTAAACCATGTTATAGCCATAGAATGGAATAAGATATAACTGCTAAGAAGAATGAGTGTATATATTTACCTGAAACCATATCATTAAAAAGTAAGACATACCTCATTTTATTGTGCTTCCCAGATACTGTGTTTTTTACAAATTGAAAGTTTGTGGCAACCCTGCGTTGCAAGTCTGTCTTTGCAAGTCTCTCGATGCCATTTCTCCAACAACATGTGCTCGCTGTGTGTCTCTTTGTCATATTTTGGTAATTTTCACAGTATTTCATATTTATTCATAATGCTGTTGCACACTTAATAGACTATAGTATAGTGTAAATATTTATTATATGCACTGGGAAACCAAAAATGTCATGAGACTTGCTTTATTGTGATATTGCACTTTATTGTAGTGGTCTGGAACCAAACCCACACTATCTCTGAGGTATGCCTGTACTAAAAGGCAAGTTCCAGAGGTGTATATAAGTAAGGTTAAAATTTGGAAAGATACATGTTAGACTTAAAAGTAACTTCCTCTGGGGAGGGACTGGAAGACTTCTACTTTTGTATTGTATTTTTGTACTCTTGGAAGTTTTTTAGTTAAGTATGTATTTTATAATAAATCCAGAAGAAAACAGACTTGCATTTAATTTTTCTGGATGAATTATATTGCAGAAATAATAGAATATTATTAAAATTTAACTTATTTTTTGGTTTGTTTCCTAGATAGTAGACCCCACCTTAGCTGAAATGGGAAAAAACTTGAAGGAGGCAATGAAGATGCTAGAGGACAGTCAGAGGTGAGCACTCCAGCAGAAGTGACCCTGTGAAGCGTGTTCAACCTGTTGTGACACTGGAGGTGCTGGTTTTATTCTGTAAGAGACCCCTCCTGGTTTCAGAATGTCATACTTTGCTTCTGGCCCACTTTAAAATTGATATTTGTCTCAGAAGGTATTTTATAATTAAAGGATTTTGAAACTGAGGGGAAGGACTTATAATTTCAGTTTATCTATTAAGAGTTTCATTTACTTAATATATCGAATCCATAAATACTTGTTACTGTGTTTTTAGGTCATGTGGGACATTAGTTAATTAAATGTTTGAAGTATTATTTTTTATGTTATTTTCTTTTTCTGAAATTCAGACTATATCAACTGCTGGGGCTGCTGGGAGGATGTGATAAATGTATTTTAAATCCTGGATCAGTCACTAAGATGTTATAGGCAACATTCTCACATGGTTGCTCAGATGAAAAAAAAAAAAGCCCTACTTGTTTTATTATCATACCAAATTCTTGTTTGCTTTAAATTAGGAGAGCAGAGGAGGAAAATGAAAAGAAGGTCCTGTCAGGGGATATTCCAGGGCCACTCCAGGGCAGGTAGGTGACAGTGAAGATAAGTATCTTTAGTTTGATTGTAAATCTTTTTTAAACCAAGATTTTACCATCATTAATTTATAGTTTTAGTTTTAATGAGCACAAAGAAAATTTAAATCGAGTTATGTGCTGTATAACATTTAAAAACTGAAATGCCACTGGCTGGTTGGTGCTGAGTCAGTCTCCTTTCTTCCCCTAATGGAATTTAATGCAACCTCATGACTGAAAAGTGATACGTGAATTTTTTGTTATCAATGGAATATCATACTTAGTAAACCTTTGAAACCCATAATCTATTTCGTAGAGTTTTATTGTGAGAGATACTTCAATTTGATAAAATTTATCATTTTGTAGATGAAAGAAAAATGTCTACTTTAATTGTTTTATTGGCAGAGTAATGTATTTTTGGCAATAAAGAAAATCTGTCAAGTCTTTATAGTTTGAGCTAGCAGGGAAGAGATCAGAAAAATAAAAAACTGTCTGACAAAAATTTTCACAAGATGTTAGTGGTCAGTCTGTAATTAAAGACTTAGCCCAGCTTCCCTGAAATTAATTATTTTTTTTTAATTACCAGGAAACTACACATGGGTAAATGGTACAATTCCCTTAAATTCTCCTTTGACCAGAATATAAACATGTACAGGGTTGTAAAGGAAAAGTATTGAGGAAAGCACACAGCATGACAATAAATGTCAAATCTAACACACCTGGTGTGATATTAAGGTTGTGTGTCATCTTGGTTGGGCCCGTGGTTTTAAGTGGCTGGCCAGCTGGATGCAGTAATTCCTCATGATGAGATTGAATGTGGTGTAATAACTCCATGGTGGAGTCTGCTGTGAGCAGCTAATTTGTTGCCTTTGGACTGTGCCCTGCTTCCAGTATATAAGGAGAGGCTTTGAGAAAGGTCTCTAGCTTCTTGGTACATGTGGATCCTGCATTTGGTCAAGCCGTCAGTGGGCTGCCATGTTGCCTGGTAATCTTGGGACTATTTCTGGACTTGAGCTAGTAGCCTACCCTGTTGCTTGCTAATCTTGGGACTGTGCCATATTAGTTGCTGATCTTGGGTTTTTCAGCCTCAGCAGCCACCAGTGCATGAGTCAGAAAAAGCCTTCAGCTCTAGTTGGCTTGGAACCAGAGGCAGAGCTGAAGCCCAAGGTCAAGGGGCTCCTAGAGCTGGCACTTTGAACTCAGTCTTCTTGCCTCCTAAACTGTAAGAGAATAAATCCCTGTTAAAGCCATACATTGTGGTATGTCTGTTATAGCAGCAGTAAAGAACCAAAACACCTAGTTATTATTAGTATTTTAAAATACTGCAATATGAATGGTATTGATTTGAAACCACATGAGTTGGAATTGATTTGATAGCAACAAGTTTAGGTGTGAAGTGCTTCCTGCAACTCACAACAGGAACCAAATCCTTTAAGTCTTCTCATCCCAGGCCTACTGCTGAAAGGAATAAAAAGGCTTGAGGTTTATTCTCTCTCTAGAAAGATACTACTAAGATCATCAGAAATTCTAAGAATGGCTGTACATTAAAGCTACTAGCCAGGAGTGCTCACACTTAATAATACTAATAACTCTTACTGCCAGGCATGGTGTTAAGTGGTTTACATACACTGACTACATTCTCAATAATAATTATGTAGAACTTTAACCAGCTTGGTCAAGGTTACCTGGCAAGGGCCCTCCAGCTTGTTCTAATCTCTGCATAGTGCCCCAAGAACCTGAGTCCCTCTCAGGTTGTAGGCCAGGATCTTGGGGAGAAAATGGGTATTTAGAGATTGTTTGGATACTGCTGCTTTTTTAAAAGGGAGAACTTTTAAATTAATGGTCTCCATGGAGGGATGTTTATATTGCATGTGTTACAGGATGTCTTGCCATTGCTTACTACTTTAGCTATTCATATTTTGCTCATAAGTTTTCACCTTGTATTATGAGCATTTATAAACATAAATTGGATATAAATCTCTACACTCTAAGCAGGTCTTAAGTTTGCCACTTGCATAGTGGAAAGATGGTGATAAATGATGCTTGCATTACGTGTTTAACGATGTTAATCCAAAGAGATGAGACTCTACATGGAGAAAAGCTAGATAAACCAATAGCATTGTTGTTGTTGTTAGGTGCCGTCAAGTCAGCTCTGACTCATAATGACCCTATCTGTGTACAACAGAATGAATTACTGCCTGGTCCTGCACCAGCCTCACAATCCTTGCTATATCCAAGCCCATCATTGCAGCCACTGTGTCAGTCCATCTCATTGAGGGCCTTCCCCTTTTTTGCCGACTGACCACTTTACCAAGCATGATACCCTTCTCCAGGCACTAATCCTTTCTGACAGCATGACCAAAGTAGGTGAGAAGAAGGCCAGCCATTCTTGCTGGATTCCGGCATTCCGGCTGCACTTTTCTCAAAACAGATTTGTTAGTTCTTCTGGCAGTCCATGGTACTTTCAGTGTTCTTCTCTAACACCACAACTCAAAAGCATCAACTGTTCTTAGGTCTCCATAGTAGTGTTCTTTTTTTCTTTAATGTGGAAAATATAAATAACATAAAATTTGCCTTTTAACCATTTTAAGTATACAATTCAGTGGCATTAATTACATTCATAATGTTGTGCAACCATCACCACTCTAGTTTCAAAACTTTTTCATTGCTTTATATTCTCTATACTTATTAACCAATAACTCCTCATTTCCCCTTTCCCTAATTCTTGGTAGTCTCTGATCTACATCATCTCTATGAATTTGCCTATTCTAGTTATTCTGTATAAATGGGATCATATAATATATGCCCTTTTGTTTCTGACTTATTTTACTCAGCATGATGTTTTCAAGGTTTAGCCATATGTATGAGAACTTCATTCCTTTTTATGTATGAATATACCACATTGTATGTATACACCACATTTTATTTATCCATTTACCCATTGATGGACACTTGGGTTATTTCTACTTTTTAGCTATTGTTAATAATGGGGTATTCTTGTTGCCTCTGTGGCCTTCCAGAATCTTATAAGGGATTTTATTCCTTATAAGATGCTTATTAAATGTTTTCTGTCTTGTCCTCAGATGAATAGGTATAGAAATATTGTTAAAGAAATGCCAGTGAGATTTTTAAAGATCAGACTTGGATTTAGCTAGAAGATTTAATTAATCACAAGTGAAGTTATATTCAGAATTCAGTTCATAATTTCAGAATTGTTTTTAAAAGGTACATACCATATTTCAAAATACATTCTTTTTCTTGCAGTTACTCAATTAAAAAAAATTAAAAACTTAATCAAAGCTAGTTTGGATGAAATAGTGAGAGTGGTAGGATATGTGTGCTGTTTCCACCAATCCATCAGCTCTTTATTTTGCAGTGGACAAGACATGGTGAACATCCTCCAGTTAGTTCAGAATCTAATGCATGGAGATGAAGATGAGGAGCCCCAGAGTTCCCGGTAATGGAGAGTTATTGTAACTTCTCTTTGAATGTATATGTATTCTTGATTCCAATAGTAATTACATTCTCACAAGTTGTTCAGATAATCCACATCTCATTAAGAGTTACATATGGGATTAAAATTATGTTCATTTTTTTTTTTCTTTTCAAAGAGTCATTTATTTTAGATAATACAT